ATGGCAGTTCAGAGTTATATGTTACTGTTGCTGCCGATTTGTATTCATAAGAAAATTTCTGTCTCAGGTTATATTTATATATCCAGTTGAAGCCAGTTAAATCCTCCTGGCAGAGCTGGCCCTGTCATTAGACAGCTGGCTCAGGCAGCAGACTCTGGGTGTCTGGCAATTTACACTTTACTCTAACGACAAATCAGGGAGACAGAGCGGTACTAGTTATGGCATTTCCTGCCAGCTGTACCAAAATTACGGGGCTGGTCTTGGCTACTATGCACCTTGATATGGGAGGAAAGATGGTAGTCCCACTTGACTTTCTGCTTCAAGCTCTTATTGTCTTGGGCCAGCTCTGACTGGACATTAGGTCAGGGAATCTAACTTGCACTATTCAAATTAAGAGGAAGGATAGCAGGGGTGAGGAATGGCAATAATGAAATTAACAAGGCCCTCCCACCACCAAAAAGGCCCTGCATAGAATGAAAACTTCTCTTTTGGGATTGAGCACTGCCAGGTTCTTGCCTGACCAAGAATATGTGAGTTTATTTTTAGGCCTAAGTTAAAGCCCATCCCCCCATTTTTTTCTAAAAACAGTAGGAATAATTTTTAAGACTGATACTTAAAAGCTGGACTGTTTTTTAAACATTAGGGGAAGGAGATGTTAGGCAAAGAATGATTCTTATCTGCTTCGTTTATCTTGTTCCTTTAGTTTAGAGCACACCCTTTACATGCAAAAGGTTGCAGATCCAAATCACTGGCATTTCTGAGTGGAGTTCAAGAGGAGGAGTGCTGATGAGTCCCTGCTGGTCAGAATAAAGGCAACTGGTATGTGGCTTTCCTGATCTTGATGAACACATTAGCCCCAGCCATGATAACCAACAACCAGGGATCAGGGGTGATGGGATGCAACAGCATCTAGAGTGAACCTTGCTCCTTATCTGTTCTACACAGTTAGAGCAGTTTGATTCCACTTTATTGGCCATGGCTCTATTCTGTAGTTTGGTGTGGTACTCAGAATTTCCTCCTGTAGTTCAGGGGTGGGCATTAGAATTCTTTACCAGAAAATTCAAAGCAATTCACCAAGCTATAAATCCCAGGATTCTATATGATGGAACCCATGGCAGTTAAAAATGGAATTAAATGGTTCTTACTATGTAGAGCCATCCACGGTATAAAAAAGATGCTAAGATACATGGATCGCTGCTATGATTGGGCATAAGGTACAGTATTTTCCTAGGTTCTTATGATATGGTCACCTCATAGTTGTATGGAGAGCTTTGTCAAGCGTGAGAGGAGTGGGTACTTCACATCGTTGGCAATGTTTCTTCATTGCCCCTTACTCTCTGTTCCCCAGTTTTCAAAATATTCTGCAGTGGTAAATTGTCACTAAAGCACTGCCTTATCTGAATCAAAATTGCACAACTTGAAGTACAAACTGTAGGCAAGCATTTGAGGTTGTTGCCTTTTTGATAAAAACAATTTTAGGTTGCTATTTAGCAGTATTTTAGCACATACAAACTGAGCTTAGATAGCTTGGAAAAGTTACTTTCCAAAGCAATGCTGACTGGAGGATTCTGGGAACTGTGGACCAAAAATAACCTTTGTAAGCAATCCTGAATCTAATATTCTCAAGCAGTCTCAGCATTTTTCTTTATAAGAAAAAGAAGGCAAAAGAAATTAACAATGATCTGCTTTGACTAGATGGCTTATTGTACCACAAACCTCATATCTTGTCAAACAGATTGTTTGGGTTAGAGTAGGAGCAAATTTTGCTGTGATCGCTTCTTCTTTTTCACGTAAGAGCCCTTGTTATATATTTTTTCTTGTTCATGACAGCTCAGTCTCATATGTATTACTTGTATATGGCATTTTGACAAATTAAGCAGCCCAAAACTGTTTCAAAGAAAATACAGTACTTAAAGTCGTTAAACTTACCATTGCTAATTAATGCAGAGTTAATTTAAAATTTTAGGCCTGCTGACTGTGAATCAGTGTGCGTGTAAATTTACATTGCCTTTTCTATGCGGAACATTTAGAACCCAAATTGTTACTTGCAGAATGATGATGTCCAGAGATTATTTTTGCCATTATATTTAATTGTTGATTGCTGCAAAAATATGGATGTTGACTGAGTAACACACCAGGATCTAATGACTTATGAGCCATTTACCAAGAATATTAAGGACATTTAAAAAATAAATCAAAAATTAAACAGGCAAGCTTTATTTCTGTGGCAGACACAGGATCATTATGTACATTGCCATATTGGCACAATCTATTTCCACTGGAAGAGAAGAATGTAGAAGAATAAGCAGGAACATTGGCTATAGTCAGTGCATTCTGGGAAGACTGTGCACTCTAGTTGTCACTAAATTTGTTATGAGAACACAAGGTTATTGATGCTCTATAAGCATCCTACAGAGAAGGATATGTCACAATGTTCAGTTGTAGGACACATGATGTATATGCAGAAGAAGATTCCAGGTTGACAACCTTGCACAGTCAGTGGAGCATCTTTGGTCCTCTGGATGGCACTCAATTCCAGTTCCCCCATACCTCAGGCCAGTACAAATACTTAATCTAGGGATTAAAAGAGTTGCATCTCCCCCTGCAACTAATGGAGAGTTATATCTCCATTAATTAATTAATATAACTTTCCAAACATGGAAATATTTTGCTTGAGATCTTGAAGACTTGATGGACCAAAGTCTGATTGAGGACAAGGAAAATTCATTAATCACTATTTCCAGCTTAATGGAGCTTTCTAGTCTTTGTCCTTTAGAGAGGTGAACTCTCTCCACTATGGTTGTTGTGGGTTTTTTTTGGGTTCTTTGGCCGTGTTCTGAAGGTTATTCTTCCTAACGTTTCACCAGTCTCTGTGGCCGGCATCTTCAGAGCACGGCCAAAGAACCCAAAAAAACCCACAACAACCATTAGATCCCGGCCGTGAAAGCCTTCGCGAATACATTGAACGTCTCTCCGCTATGTCGGAAAGTATCCATGGGGACTGTCTTCATATAGACATGCAGAAATGGACTGAATCAGAGGGGGTTGTGCAGTTCCAGAGTGACTGTGGTGTTTAGTAAGGAACTGCTCTTCACCCTAGTGGTGGAGCAGCATCACAACACATCCTTCGTACCCCATGTGGGCTAAAAGATGGTCAGAGAGTTGAACTGAAGAAAGAGGAAATAAAAAAGTATACAGTAGACAGAGCTGCTGGTGCCAAAAGGAGAAGGTGGGTTATAGTTGAATTCACCCAATCAAAGCCAAGATACTCCAATAGTTGAATTCCCCCAATCAAAGTCAAGATATTCCAATAGTTGAATTCACCCAATCAAAGTTAAGATCTCCCCTGCATACTCCAATTACTGAGGTGCTAGGGAAGGCTCAGACTGAAGTCAAGGTGTGATGCATATATCCCCACTCAAGTACATTGCCAACCATTTTGCAAAGCTGTTGGTGAAGAGGAAGACTTGTATCCTTGTTTAGATTACTGTTTTGTGAAATATTCCCCTGACTCTGCCTTATTTTCTAAGCGACACTGAAACATTATTACACTGTGAAGATTGTGTGTGTGTGTGTGATTGTGAGAAAATGATTGTATGGTCTTTGAGTGAATAGGTCATACATACAAGTAGGGCATTGCAAAGCCCTCTACCCCATCATGGCTATTTGTGTTTCCTTCAATTCATGGCATTTATTTATTTA